TAGGCAGGCTTAATTCTGTTAGCTCCAAGTTTTACATGCTTGAGTTGGCAAACTTAAATTAATGCCATTTTAACGTATGCATTTTTCTATGTATTTGCAATTAGCAAATGAATGGTGAAATTCAAAATCTTCGGCTCCATTACAGGCACTGGAGAGGATGCGCTTTTTAATTGGTGCAGGCTTTTCTGCAGGTTTGACTCTGTACCTTTTTACCTTCAGATTGTCCTAATGCAGTCACCTCACCTTTCTGTCCCTGGCAGCTTCTTTTACCTTCTTATCCTAAACTAGCTACTCCAGTTTAGCTATACTCCAGCTATCCCCGGAGTTTTTCTTCCTCACACGGGTTCCAATCTTTTTCCCGTCCCACTTCCACTCTTCTCCCTTTATTCCCTAGCCTTTTGTTCCTGACATCTCTTCTGTAAATAACTTGCTTTTTTTTTCCTATTGGATTTTGCCTTAGCGAGGTAGTTTCTTTTTCATGTTGTCTTAGGAATATGAGGAGGCATTATGAATATAGGAGAAAGAGTTTTCCATGGTGTATACAGTAATCCAGGTGTATATATGCTGGATTATGCTCATGCATAGATTTTTAATGATTTTATGCTTTAGTAATTGTTATTAATTTTTTACCCTTCTCCCAATGCACTCTTATCCCTCCCACATGTAGTGTGGCCAGATGCATTACATTTTCAAAGAATACTAAAAGGATATCAAAGGTCTTCGTTTGCCAAGTTTTAAGTCTCGTCTCCAAGAAGTAGTATTTTCCAGCAGTGTGCAGCTTTAGGCAGACACCCAGCAAAGAAAATTTCAGCCTACATGATTGAAGTGTGATATGATTAAAGATGAGAGGATGGTTTTGTCAGGATTAAGATGAGATAATCTTAGAGCAGACAATGCTTCTAGTCTCTTGTGTTATGAAGGTAACCTGACACATTCCTTAGAGCTACAGCTGAGGAAATTAAGAAAACAAATAGTCTGTTAAACCTAGCCTCACTGTCATCATGATCATAACTTGGACTTCAACCATGTCCTTGAAGATGGGGGTTTCTTTGATCTCATGATTAATGTTTGCACCCAGATACAAGCCTGGTTAAGTTTCCTAAGTAGCTCTACTTCATCATGCTCCCCATGTTCCCATCATCTGCTTCTGTTCCTCTTCCAGCTGTTGTGTTAAATTCCCTCTTCCTGTGTCCATCCTGCTGTAGCTCCTTCCTCTGAATACTGAGGATGGCTCTCATCCCATCCGAGACCTATCTGAGTTTAAAAAAGCAGTGAGGTTTAATTACGATTTCTCTTCTGAGCCTCCATGCCATATGCAGGTTTGTTAAATGTAATGTCATCTCCTTGACCAGTAAGCAGTCTAACTTACATAATAATTTATAGATGTATGGTTAGCATATAGTCTTGTGCATCAAGGAATACACACCTGTGTAATGCAATATTTACTTTATTCCTCTTTCATTTTTATACATGTGTCTGTCATGCTTCTGAGGTGTTCTGCTAAGCTGCAGAAAAACACACTCTCTGCTTTTTCAAATGAAAAAATTGCAGTGTGCATGAAGGCTCTTAAATCAAGGCATCCTCACAAAGACTCCCCTAATATCAGTTCTTTCATGCCTGTATTAAGTATGGTCCAGTACAAGTAAGTCTGCTGATATTCGCAGTGGCTTTATATCATGGAGACAGCGGCCATTTCTTAGATAATTGTGTCCCAAATTGTTTAGGTGTTCAGGCATACAAATCAATGCCTTGAACTAAGGCTTTAAGCTCGTTATGAGCTAGTAATATTAAAGAGAATTGCTTTAAAGTATTTTCACTATGCAGCTGCATTTCAGAAGGTCAGCTATGAGTATGCGTCTTGTACAATTAACACTGGCAACAAAGGCATAAGAGAGAAAGCAAAAGCAGGGTAGAGGGTATGTTGGGTGTTTAGAAATTTTCTGGGTCTGATGCAGTTTCTTGGAGAATATTTAAAATATTCTTGTAAAATTGTGGATGATAGTTGAGGTTTCTGGACCCTGAATCTGTGAAGAAAAAATACATCAAGCTAATATAATTTATTTCTGTGAAAGAATAGCATGCTTTGTGAAGTGGTACATGTCATATAACATGACTTTTATGAAGTGTTGACATTATCTGGAATAAATATAATATAATTCACCAAGAAGTGCAAGGTTTTATGCTAAAGAATAGTCAACTACTTCAGTGAAAGGTGTGGGTCAACTGGTAGGTGGTAGCTCTACCAACAGGAAGTTAGAGTGGATCGTAAGTGAACAGGAATTCTGTTGCCATATTCATTATTGATTGATTTGTGAATCTGATAAATCATTTTAGATCACACATTTTATCTGGATCAGCTTTGAACAAGTGATAGCATTCCAGACCATGTTTATTTCACGGTAGCTGCAGAAAGACAAATTACACTTTTGATGGAATAACCTTAACTTCACAAAAATGTTTAAATATATCTGCATGAATAAAGGCTTCTGGTAGGTCATTGTTTTGCAGATGTAGTGTTTAGTGCAGTATGCTACATCGTAAAATCTAATACACAATCTCACCGAACCATTATCTGAATTACCAGTGTTGTGGTCTTGTGACAAAGGAGTCACATTCTAGGCAGTCTGCTGTATGCCTAGAATTGTGTGACAAGGAAGATCTTGGATCTGAAAGCACAACCTGTGAGGACAGATTGGTTGAATTGATTTAGGCCAGAGAAGACTGAAGAGAGATAAAATAGTGTTCAAGTGACTAAAAGGGATAGCTGATGAAAAGATAAGATAAATTAGTCAATAGGGCAAGAATTTAAATTATAGGAACAGTTGCATTAAATGCTAGGAAAAGTCTTCCAACTAAAAATAATTTCCTTCTAGTTGGATGAAATAGTTTGCTTACAGAGGTTTTGAAATTACTACTTTTCAGGGACTCTAGAAAGAGTTTAGAGAAATACTTATGAGAAATAGCATAGATAGACCTGCTTCTGCCCTGGGGTATAAAGAGAACTAGATGATTTCCTGGTGCAGCCCCACTGTGTGTGCGAGGGGGGTTATTCTATGTTTAATAATCAGACTAGTTTCAGCCTCTGAATTTTCTCAGATATTTTACAATAAATCTAATCCTGAGGTGACAGTAGTGTGGGTAATTGTGGCATGGTTACCACTAAAGGGAAAATGTCATATTCCTCCTGCCAGGTACAGATGGAAAAATGTGCCTGTGGCTACTGCTGTTACCTTGGCGTACTGGAGCAATCCGGGATCTAATACTCTTCTTACCCTCCTAACACAGACCTAGCTTGCAAATGGAGATCACACTCTTTATATGGGCAACAATACAAGTTCCATCGATTCCTCTGACTGCTTTCTTCATCTTATGATTATTACCTGCTACCTTTTGTTCAAGCCCATGGTTGTATTGCCATTCTGTATTTCCTTATACGTGCTAGATAGGTATACATAAGCTATTTGTATTTTATCTAATTTATTTGCTCTTCACCTGTTAACTGGCAATGTATAAAAGAGGCAATATGTCATGTATTTCTCTAGAATGTCAACTAATGAAAACAGAGCGACCAAAGCCAAACACATTCATTATCAGATGTCTTCAGTGGACCACTGTCATAGAGCGGACATTCCACGTAGACACTCCAGAGGAACGGTGAGGTTTTTATTTTTGTTTTGCTTTCTGTGTTCTTTATGCAGAAGCCTTGGCACAGTCTCTGCTGGGACTGCACAGCAATCAGTACTTGGAACTGTGACATTCTGAGCACATCTGAACAGTTATTTGAAGAATTTATAAGTCAGCTTCTGTAAAATATTACCTGAGCTCATAGCTAGTGTAAGAGTTGCCTGTGAGTAGGTGGGATGCGTGTGTTCAAATAAGCCAAAACTATGTCATTATATAGAATCATAGAATCGTTTAGGTTGGAAAAGACCTTTAAGATCATCAAGTCCAACCGTAACCTAGCACTGCCAAGTCCAACCACTAAACCATGTCCCTAAGCACTGCATCTACATGTCTTTTAAATACCTCCAGGGATGGTGACTCCACCACTTCTCCCCCCGGGGATGGTAACCCCCCCGCTTCCCTGGGCAGCCTGTGCCAATGCTTGACAACCCTTTTGGTGAAGAAATTTTTCCTAATATCCAATCTAAAGCTTCCCTGATGCAACCTGAGGCCCTTTCTTCGTGCCCTATCGCTTGTTACTTGGGAGAAGAGACCAACACCCACCTGGCTACAACCTCTTTTCAGGTAGTTGTAGAGTGCGATAGGGTTTCCCCTCAGCCTCCTTTTCTCCAGACTAAACAATCCCAATTCCCTCAGCCGCTCCTCGTAAGACTTGTGCTCTAGACCTTCACCAGCTTGTTTGGACACACTCCAGCACCTCAATGTCTTTCTTGTAGTGAGGGGCCCAAAACTGAACACAGTACTTGAGGTGCAGCCTCACCAGTGCTGTCTTCAGGGCGACAATTGCTTCCCTGCTCCTGCTGGCCACACTATTTCTGATATGAGTCAGGATGCTGTTGACCTTCTTGGCCACGTGGGCACGCTGCCAGCTCATCTTCAGCCGGCTGTTGACCAACACTTCCAGGTCCTTTTCTGCGAGGCTGCTTTCCAGGGACGGAGGCCTATCAGCCTTTTCTTCCCCGAGCCTGTAGCATTGCATGGGGTTGTTGTGATGCAAGTGCAGGACCTGGCACTTGGCATTTGGCCTCAGCCCATCGGCCCAGCCAGTCCAGATCCCTCTGTAGAGCCTTCCTACCCTCAAGCAGATCAACACTCCTGCCCAACTTGGTGTTGTCTGCAAACTGACTGAGGATGTGCTCGGTCCCCTCGTCCAGATCATTGATAAAGATATTGAACAGGACTGGCCCCAGTACTGAGCCCTGGGGAACACCACTTGTGACTGGCCACCAGCTGGATTTAACTCCATTGCCCACAACTCTTTGGGCCTGGCCATCCAGCCAGTTTTTTACCCAGTGAAGAATATGCCCCTCCAAGCCATGAGCAGCCAGTTTCTCCAGGAGAATGCTGGGGGAAACAGTATCAAAGGCTTTACTAATCTCTAGGTAGACAGCATCCACAGCCTTTCCCTCATCCACTAAGCGGGTCACCTTGTCATAGAAGGAGGTCAGGTCAGTCAAGCAGGACCTGCCTTTCATAAACCCATGCTGACTGGGCCTGATCACCTGGTTGTCCTGTACGTGCTGCATGATGGCACTCCAGATGATCTGCTCCATAACCTTTCCTGGCACTGAGGTCAGACTGACAGGCCTGTAGTTTCCCGGCTCCTCCTTCCAGCCCTTCTTGTAGATGGGGTCACATCCTGCCCCTCTACTCCGCTCTGGTGAGACCCCACCTGGAGTGCTGCGTCCAGCTCTGGGGGCCCCAGTACAAGAGAGACATGGAGCTGTTGGAGCGAGTCCAGAGGAGGGCCACGAAGTTGATCGAAGGGATGGAGCACCTTTCCTATGAGGACAGGCTGAGAGAGTTGGGGTGGTTCAGCCTGGAGAAAAGGCGGCTCCGGGGAGATCTAATTGCGACTTACCAGTACCTGAAGGGG